GTGTGTACAGGTTTATATATCCTGGTGGGGACTTAAACCTGACTACACACAGACTCATGGGGACTCGTGTCACGGTGGGGCCCTAAATTGTGGTCCCCACGGGTACAAAAGCTTATAAATCATACAGAATTAAATTTTTTGAAAATCTAAAAATGCAGAAAGTTTCCTGTGAGGGGTAGGTTTAGGGGGTTGGTTGGTGTAGGGCAATAGAATATACGGTCTGTACAGTAGAAAAACCATTACGCATATGGAGAGTCCCCACAAGGATAGCTGACCAGACTGTGTGTGTGTGTGTGAGTGAGTGTGTGAGTGTGTGAGTGTGTGTGTGTGTGTGAGAATATGTGTGTGGGAGAATGTGTGTGAGTGTGCGGATGCTGAGATTCAGGGCCGCAGAAGGAGCCTGAGTGGCTCAGATCTGTGAAAGCAGGGCGCTGCAGGGTTCGCTCGCTCTCAAAGGAGAAACCGCAGTCAGAAATACTGCTGCGAGGCCACAAAACAATTCCACCGTGTTGAGTGTTTGTTCAGTTCGGCTGTACACAATGTGGCTCGACGGCCTTCCGGGCGGCGCACTCCTCAAATGGTATGGAAATAAAGAGTGGGACTATGCTGAGGAAAGACAGGAGCTCTTACCCAAATCTGGTTAACCCCTCATTCCCAGGAGTGCCAGAACATTCGCTGCTCATGAATGAGTCTGTATGTAATACAGTATTAAAGTTAAGAAAGACAATGTTAGTGGTGTTTGTATGTGATTGCTAACGTGTGTTTTTTATGGTTTCAAACATGATGTTCTTCCTCAGTATTTCTGTCTTGTTTTCCAGTACAAACATCTAAACATTCTTAAATCAAGATACAGTTACCCGAGAAGCTAAATGACTTCACATATTAAAAACTCTATCAAAATTTTGTCAGTTTATGCTTAAAACAAGAACAAATAATTTTAATTTAAAGGGAAAACTAGTTTATTTTTCTGACCCCACTGGCAGACATTTCTGTTCTTGTTTTAATCATAGTCACTTAATTTTAATGCATTTTTCAGAAAATGAAAAGTTGTATCTTGATTTAAGAACATTTAGATATTTGAAAGACAAAAAATACTGAGGAACAAAATCATTTTTTGCAAGTCTGTACATTCTGATTGGATTACTTAATTGAAGCCTGTTAAAAATAATAAAACATTTTTGTTAGTTGAAATGGTAACACTTTATAATAAGGTCCCATTACTGATTAATGCATCAAATAACATTAAATAAAAATGAGCTAAACATATGTTTTAGTATTTAATAATAATAATAATAATAATAATAATAATAATTATTATTATTAGTTTATTGTTAGTTAGCTCAGGTCTATTAAATTATCAAACAATTAAACAATTTCTGATTTTAATAGTGTGTTAGTAAATGTTGAAATTAACATTAAATATGATTAATAAATGCTTTAGAAATATTTTTAATTATTAATTCATGCTAACTGATGTAGTTAACTAATGCTAACAAATGGAACTGTATTGTAAAATGTTACCATTAAAGTAAATTAAAATAATAAAATAAAACAAAACAGTAGATCAAAAGTAAGAAATATTATTAATTTATTATATATTTTTTATAAGTTAAAAAAGTTAAAGCACTAAAATTACTAACTGGAGAAAAAAATGGAAATAAAAAATAATTTAAACCTAAATAGTACAAAAAAAATTATTAAACAATGACAAAAACACAACAAAATGACTAAAAACTTGAAATATAAAAACAAAAGCTAATTCAAGATATTACTAAAAACTACAAATAAATACTAAAATAGCCCTGCTAACCATGCAAACACTGTGGTATAGCAAAATCTCTACCATCTGAGACATTTCTACCATCGAATGGTCTGTAATCATCACCTCTCAACTCTATGAGAGCTGAATGTTTAGACTAAACATCTGGTTCAGGTTTGAAGGAGCCACTTGTTGAAGCTATGTGCCATTGTTTGAGCTCAAACATAGCTGGGATTTCAGAGGTTCAGCTGCAGATGTTCCCATTGTGCTGTGTGATTTGTGGCCGCTCCACACCGCATGCTTGAACAGATGAGAAATGATCTCTCGTCCAATCGAACGGAGGAACAGATGGTCCGATCTGCGTTAAGACACTCGCAGTTTCACTCCGGAGCACGTCTGATGTGGAGAATAGTATCTTCTTATTTACAGACACGCTCGAGACCCGCAGCAGCGTCAGTTGTATTCGTGTCGTCAGAGAGGTTGTCGCGTTTGTTCGAAACACTCTCAGCGATGACTCAAAACATAAAGATCAAACCCAGAACAATGGCTTCATGAAAATAATTACTAGCAGTGAAGATCGTGGAGTTTGCATAACAAGTTGTTTCTCAGGCAATAATGGAGAGCAACTGGTCTTTTGCTAAAGGATCCACAAAACTTTCTTTTATTCTTTTACCAGTTATTTTCTTCTTATTTTCTAACTTAAGAAGAAAGTTAAGAATATTGTGCAATCCCAAACCTTTTTTCCCCTTATAATTGTTCTAAAAACAAAACTTGAGAAGAATCATAATAAACAACCTCTTAAGATTAGGATAACCTCAGACAATTTTTCAAGAATTGCACTAATAATGAACTTTCTCTTAATCAATTGATGTTTCGCAAAAATGTTTCTCCTGAGAAATAAACCCATATAACTTCCTCTAGATATTCAAAAAGAAATATCTTAATTTCTCAAACTCTATATATATACCAAAGTCTGACATTAAATTTCATATTTCATACACTACTGGTCTTTAAGATTTTTTAGTGTTTTGAAAGAAACCTCTTGCTCACCAAGGCTGCATTTATTTTTTTATCAAAAATACAGTAAAAAAGTAATATTGTGAAATATCATTACAATTTAAAATAACTGTTTTCTGTTTGAATATATTTTAAAATGTATTTCTATGATGCAAAGCTGAATTTTCGGCAGCCATTACTCCAGTCTTCAAATATTTACTCTTGGAGTCACATTGAGATCCCAGTATCTCTGAATATGAATCATATAGGGTGTTAAAAATGAGGATGCTAAAAGAAAAGTTTATTAAAAACTCACTTCTGAAAGGATATTAAGATATCTTTAATACTTCTTGAGTTATAGCCATGCAAACTTTGAAAAGAAAAACTTGAAAAAAATGCTTTTTTCCCATTTTTGAATGCTCACCATAGGCATATTAATGCAACAAAAATTGCTAGAGTCAACAGATTTGACTAATAGACTTACTAATCTCTGTGTAAAACTAAAATAATAATGCTGCCATCTTCCTAAAGTCATTTTCCTCCTCCTGTAATTTAGCTCCAAATCTCTGGTGAAAATTTCATATTTACTCTTGGAGTCACTTTGAGATCCTAATATCTCTGGATTTGAATCATATAGAGCCTTTAAAATGAGGACACCAAAGGAAAAGTTTGTTAAGAACCAAAATCTAAAAGGATATTAAGATACCTTGAATGCTTCTTGAGTTATAGCCATGCAAACTTTGGAAAAAGAACTTGAAAAGTGCTTTTTTCCCATTTTTGTACAGTCGCCATTGGCATTTAATGCAACAAAGATTGCTAAAGTCAACACATTCTACTAATAGACCTCCCAATCTCTGTGTAAAACTAAAATAATGATGGGAGAAATATCTGGGATAAAGTTTATACTTCGATGAAATATAACTGAGAACGCTGAATCTGAACGCCATAACACATTCCTCTCTCCTCACCAGCTGTGAAGTAACCACTTGGACAGGAGGCTCAGGATGAAAAGATGGCAGCCATACTGTTTCCACCGGGTCATGACAGTCTACACCGGTTCACTCGTGAGTCCCTGGCTGGAATCGAGCAGCGGATCATCGAGGAGAAGGCCCGCAATGCCAAGCAGTACCAGGAGGACCTGGGCGACGTGGAGCCGCTCAAGTCCCGGGCCGACCTGGAAGCCGGAAAGCAGCTCCCGCGAATCTTTGGAGACATTCCTCCTGGACTGGTGGGCGTCCCTCTGGAGGACATCGATCCGTTTTACTTCCACAACAAGAGAGTGAGTGATCGGCACCACAGCAGACCTGTAGAAGATATACAGTCCTTTACAGATAAAGATTCAGTTCTGAAACCCAGCAAAGTGCCTTTAGCCAAATCACATCAAGCTTTACAGAAAATCATGATGGTACTGTTTATAATATCCTAATTTCTTTATGCTTTATAGTTGCATTTAGCACATTGGAGCTGTGCGATAATATAGTTTACATTTTGCGGCAATACATTTACAAATACAATACATATATACATACATACATATATATATACATGTGACCCTGTCTGTGAAATCTATATATATATATATATATATATATACTGTTGCTGGCTGGTAATATAGTTACATTTTGCAACAATATAAACAATCAAGCAGATTTGCTATATAATATGTATTGCTTTATGCAAGTATATTTAACTTTATATAAAGAGACGGGCGATTATATAGTAACATTTGGCAACTATATAAACAATCAAGGAATTGAGATTTGCTATGTAGTATATATCGCTATACCGAGTGTACTGTACAAGCAATTAAAGTTGGATATATATATCCAGCTTAATATAAAGAGCTGTGTGGTAATATATTTTGCAACAATAAGTACAATCACACAGCTGAGATTTGTTATATATATGTCGCTTTATGTATATCCAAGTTTATATAAACAGCTGGGCAATAATATAGTTACATTTTGTGACAATATAAACAATCACTCAGCTGAAATTTGCTATACATTGCTTTACGTGAGAGTACTGTGCAGAGTTAGACATGCTTATATATCCAACTTTGTACTGTATGTATTGAGGTTGGATATACTTATAGCAGTTGTATAATTCGTTATTATTTATTTTAGCTACGTTTTAAGGCAATATCTTTACTGAAATTGAACCTCATTGCAAACTATGCGTCATGCATTAAGTGTTTCTCATGTGAAATTCACAAGAAGCTCGACCCACAATTGATTTCAAGCTTGTTTTAGCTAGTTTTTAATAAACATTAATTGTGCACACAATAGGTAATATATTCAATTTTCAACTGTTTTATCTATGTTGTTCACAACTGAATAAAAATGTTTTGGATTTATGGATAACTGAGCTTGTCACGATGCATTCTGCGATTGCATTCTCTGCAAACGATGCTGCGTTAGGCAAGAATGAGACAGCATAATTTACTTTTAGAAACATCTTTTCGTCCCTCTGTGATAATGAGATTAGTGGTTACGTGTTCGATCTGTACATTTTTACCGGCAGATTCACAGACGCTCGAGATCAGAAACATCCCCTGAATGTCTGTTCACAAGGTCCCAGAAAGGTTTAAATATTAGCAAAAAACAAAACCTAACAATGAGCGTCAGTAAAGGGCGGCTGATGTGTTTGCACTGAATCAGAGAGCTGCAGGAATAGCAGACAGATGAATAGCGTGAGTCAGTGAGCCGCTGTTAATGCCACCGCTGCTGCGTTTGCTTCCACAAGCACACAAATCTCCATTTCTATGGATTTCAGCTAAAAGTTTTGACTCAAAACTCTTTAAATGCCATTTTTCGGTGAGGAAATGTGCGCTGTTTAGGCTTTCCTAAGCCGGTGGCTAATGCTAAGAAAGATGAATTGACACTTAACAGGACTCCTTCTATTAAAGTTTGGCCCTGTCCTTTGATATTTTTGCAAGCCGACACTCATTTTCCCTATTCGGACGGGATTAGTTTGCATCCGGAGTGCATGACCTCACATAACAGCCATATCCAGACAATAAACACTTCTATCAATGAAATCACAGACGTCAGTAATTTAATAATGTTAATAACTGTAACTTAAAATTAATCTCGGCTCATAACATTGCTTTATGTTTCTGGTTTGACTTGTCATTCATGCACTCCTTCAGTAGTCCTCGTGAAAAATTATCACTATGTTTCCACGTGGCTCTCACACTTCTCTGGTTTGTCAGTGTATTAAGTGCACTTTATGACACTGTCGAGCTCTGAGTGATAAAGGACAAACCCAAGAAGAGAAGCGTTTCACTGAAGTTAATTCACTCCAATATAAAACTGCTGTCATTCACTCACCATTATGTTGATGTACAGTACAATTTCAGAAAAAAGGTACAAAAGCTGTCACTGGGGCAGTACACTTTTGTACCTTTTTACCCCTAAAGGGTGCATATCAGTACCTTAAAAGTACATATTAGCACCTACATGGTACATAGAAGTACCTTTAATCTATATTTTGTGTTTGCATGCCTTCAAATACCCGCACACACTCACTCATGCACACACAAATAATTTATTATACTAAATTTAATTTAAAAAAAAGAATTGTATTTGTTTTATTAAGTCATTTTCCCCCTTTATTTTCTTTCCTATTATTACATTTATTTATTTATAATTTCTGCAGGTTTGACCCTCCATATCACAGCAATGAACAGGAAAATGTTGTAAGATTAATCAATTATAAAACCAATTCTATAAAGTAAAGCAGCTCTACATTATTGAGTTAAGTGTCAATTCAATTCAGTTCGTTTGCAAAGTTCATTAATTTTGAAACTAGTTCAATTTCAACTGTACAGACGACAATAGTGTCATTCAGATCAATTCAGTTCAGTGTTGATAACAATGTCAAATATGAAACAAAACCAAATTTCAATTGATCAAAAGTGACATTTATAATGTAACAAAAGATTTCTGTTTCAAATAAATGCTTTCAAATGTATCATATTATTATTTCAAACGTATCAGATGTAGCAAATGTATCAAAGGAATTAGAATAGGTTCATGTGACACTGAAGACTGCAGTAATGATGCTGAAAATACAGCTTTGATCACAGAAATAAATTACATTCTACAATATATTCACATAGAATACAGTTATTTTGAATCCTAATAATATTTCATAATATTGTATATTTTTATGGGTTTTTGATCTATATTTTTTAAATTAATTATTTTATTTTATTACATATTGTTATAAAGTTCATCAGTCATATAACAAATTCTGTTTCGGCTGTAAAGCAGCTCTACAGATGATCAATTCAGTTCAAATTTTGTTCTTTGTATCAGTGCAGTCCAATCGATAAACTAAACTCGGTCTTTTAAACTAATCAGCAGCTAGTGCACTATATTACACGTCTTCTGAATTCATATGATAGCTTTGAGTGACTGCAATTCTGACAACTTTGCTCAAATCTCATTGAAAGCTTGGCAGATCTACTCGATAACTCCTTTTGTGTTTTGAGCAGAGATGATGACAGACGTTTCACTTTTGGCCGAACTATTGCTTGAACATCGTGGTGCATGTATTTACTTCTCAAATCCACAGCGAGGGCAGCGTTTGGCTTGGATTTCCCTCTGCCCTCTCTAGATCCGCTCATGTGGACCTGCAGTTGGCAGATGATACCCCAGAGGAAAGTGGAAACAAACACAGGCAAACCTGACCTAGATGTTACGTAAGAATAGAGAACATAAGGGCAGAGAAAGCCAGCTATTTGCAGAGGTTACAAAGGCCACGCGCCGGAGCGCTGAGAAAGACTCCTACTGTAGCAAAGATGCCGCGCAATAAAATATGTTGACCCTGATGCCGCCCGCCTGTAATTATTCTTTGCGCCGTGACTCCTCGCATTATTTATGTGATGGGGAGATGGTGTAAATCGAGCTCTGCGAGGGGGCCATGAATCCTGGGCAACCGTGAGGCGTGTTTGTGCCGCGCGGGGAGAGAAACGCTCCCGCTGGAGTCCACCATGGTGACAGACAGGAGTCCCCCGAGAGCGCCGATCCTCCCGCTGAGCCCCGCTGTATTGCATCTGCGTGTTGTTTGCACTCCCGAGCATCGCTTCCTGCTTTATCATTATAATTACAGCTTGTTTGAATATCCTCATCACAGAAAATGTTCTTTGTTTGAGAGAAGTCGGTAGTGCTGCTCAGCCAAGGATGCATTAGAATGATCAAAAGTGACATTTATAATGTAACAAAAGATTTAGATTTCAGATAAGTGCTGTTTTTGAACATTCTATTCATCAAAGAATGCGGAGAATTCAAATGTATCAGAATGAATTCTGAAGGATCCTGTGACACTGAAAACTGACCACAGGAATAAATTATATTTGTGTCCCTGCAGCACAAAAGCAGTCTTAAGTCGCTGGGGTATATTTGTACACTCTCAGAAAAAAAGGTACAAAAGCTGTCACTGGGGCAGTACCTTTTCAAAAGGCACACCTTTGTACCTAAAGAGTCCATATTGGTACCTTAAAGATAAATATAAGTACCTAAAGTGTACATATTAGTACCTAAAAAGTACAAAAGTGTCCCTTTTGAAAAGGTACCACCCCAGTGACAGCTTTTGTACCTTTTTTTCTGAGAGTG